TCACTTTGCACTTTGCACCTGGGGTATTGACATGATGATAAAAGCTCTCGTGGTCCGAGGATTTGTGGGAGAGGTCTCCTGGAATATGAATTTCTAGAATGCCTTTACAAATGATTTGAAGTGAGAATTAATCTCTTGGGAGTTCGGGGAGTATAGCAAAACAAATCCAATATATATGTAAGCCCATGTAAAAGGTTGTGCCTATGGCTATGGGTAGCGAGCTCATTCATTGTCAATTAAGTCCTTTTCTTTCATTTCTTGTCTCAATTTGGGATCAAACCGCACGTGAAGCTCAATAGTCCTTTTTTTACTGATGAACAACATCAGACTTCAACTCTCCCTTGAATCTGATCTACCACTAAGCTTGCCCTGCTATGAACCAGGCTTTTAATTGCTCTTCACGGGTCATCGCATTACCACTTTATCTGCAATTCCTGCACCCAGTGGCTTTCAACTGCTTTATTGGTAGTTTTGTTTCTATCACTCCATCAAAGTTCTTCAGAGCCATCATTAATGCCGCCCCTACCTGCCAATGCTTCGAGAGTAAATCTATGATCATTAGTCATCAACTACGGGGCCAACTGCTGGGATTAGGGGAAATCCAATACAAGAAGTCCAATATGCATGTTTGGAACTTAAAAACCCCAAAAGCTTTGGCCTATAGGTAGTGAACCTATTAGTAGTTTAGTAAGACCTTTAATTTTATTTCTTGCTTTGTTGTGAAATCAAACTCTTACATGAATCTGAACAAGGTTCATATAGGAAAAGAGTATACTTCGTATTTTGACAGTTGTCACTGGTCATTTTTCTCTAGAGTACTAGTGCTGTCCAAGTAGAGTCGCAAACCAGAATTGTACTTGCAGATTGAGCTTTGTGTTTAGTTAATGAATTATGTGCCTTCCTATACAAATGGTCATCATTATTTTTTTTTTCTTATGTGTGTTTCTTGTTATAGATCCTTTGGTAAAAATCATTTTCCTTTCTTCTAGTGGTGTGTAAGATATATGCAGACATCAAATTTCTGTCGGACCTCCAAGCACTCTTTTGATTCTATCTTGTTCCATTCTTGTGAACTAAAATGGGATATTTTTCATTTTCCATGTCATTATTATACAATTTCACACTCTATGTGGTAGCTTTACTTATGTTCTGTGAGTCTGAGTAGTTGACTCCACCACAAGCAAGGTAAATGCCCCTTTCTACATCTAGAAAGGTGCAAACCCCGCCACTTTCATTAGCTTCTAAATTCCTGAAAATTTCCAATCCTCGAGTGTGAGCTCAGTTTAGAGCATGTTTCAGAATCTGGCATCTGAAGCATGTCCAGCTCAATTATGTTTTACAGCAATTACCAACAGTCTGGCAATTTTTTCACAAGATGAAGTCAAGCAATTTTTTCTAATGGTGTTCTAGATTGTTTTACGTAGTATCTTCAGGTACGAGCATTAAGTCTTCTACACATGGGAGGGTACACACACCACACCTCTCTCTCTCTCTCTCTCTCACCTACTAATTTATTCTCATTAATAAAGTTTTCTGACCACCACCATTGCCTTAAGTGGTTAGGTCACCTAGGCCCAACCACTCAATCTTTATCTTTTACTATTAATTACTCTATCAATTATATTGCATCATACACTCAACTGATTTAATTGTGTATAACTTATTTTGTGCATCATCAGTTTGGCGTTATCTGTGAGATTGATTTGATTCTCACCCTATAATCTTCCAACCTCCAATGGCAATCACAACCAGATTCCTAAACCACCAAGCGGAAGATGACCCCCCACATCACGACAAGGACCCCCCACCACCGATGAACCCCGTCCCTAAATCCCAACAACTGTTACAGACCATGCTAAGAATGTCGCCAAAGCAAGGCGAACTAAGTCCTCACAAAGAGAGAAATACGAAAATGAGACACGGGCAAATTCTACTTCTTCACTAATTTGTGGTTAAAATTCAAATTCAGTGAAAAACAAGCATTTTATTGCTATTATTTTTGTCCATTGCACCCATAAGGCACACGTGGCATTGTCTGTGAGGCACATATGAAATTTTATGCTAGCAATTTTAAAGACAAAATTGAATACGTGAAATTCTCGATTTCTAAAATCATTGATTGCATCATTTAGATGTAAATTAAAAACTTTGAGGTATTAAAGTGACATAATTGAAAGAATGAAGACCTTAAGTGCGACAAAACATATACTTTGAGACCATTACCATGTCCTGTTCAAACGAAAAAGAAAGTTGGGAAGTGTTCTTGTCAAGATATTCAAAGTTGCAGCAACTTCATACTGGATACCAAGTTAAAAATATGAAATGAATCAGTTTATTTTTTGGCAATCTTGACAGTATTTACCACAGCTGTGAAAATCTACTACCCAAACATAAAGAAGAAAGGGGAATGGGGATAGGGTTCCACCAGCCGAGCAAAAATTATTACTCAGTTTTGGCTCGAAAGGTTCAGCTAAAGCCGAGCTTGAGAAAAAATATAAGTTTGGTAATCGAGCTTTGTCGGTCATAACCAGACCGGACCAAATCTAATCATAAATAAGTTCAACAAACTCAGACTCAAACTCAATTCAACCCTAATATTGCATTCGCTAAAATTTGTACCCGCTCTCTTCAAACTTCCTANGTTTTACAGCAATTACCAACAGTCTGGCAATTTTTTCACAAGATGAAGTCAAGCAATTTTTTCTAATGGTGTTCTAGATTGTTTTACGTAGTATCGAGCATTAAGTCTTCTACACATGGGAGGGTACACACACCACACCTCTCTTTCTCTCTCTCTCTCTCACCTACTAATTTATTCTCATTAATAAAGTTTTCTGACCACTACCATTGCCTTCAGTGGTTAGGTCACCTAGGCCCAACCACTCAATCTTTATCTTTTACTATTAATTACTCTATCAATTATATTGCATCATACACTCAACTGATTTAATTGTGTATAACTTATTTTGTACATCATCAATTTGGCGTTATCTGTGAGATCGATTTGATTCTCACCCTATAATCTTCCAACCTCTAATGGCAATCACAACCAGATTCATGAACCACCAAGCGAAAGATGACCCCCCACATCACGACAAGGACCCCCCACCACCGATGAACCCCGTCCCTAAATCCCAACAACTGTTACAGACCATGCTAAGAATGTCGCCAAAGCAAGGCGAACTAAGTCCTCACAAAGAGAGAAATAAGAAAAGGAGACACGGGCAAATTCTACTTCTTCACTAATTTGTGGTTAAAATTCAAATTCAGTGAAAAACAAGCATTTTATTGCTATTATTTTTGTCCATTGCACCCATAAGGCACACGTGGCATTGTCTGTGAGGCACATATGAAATTTTATGCTAGCAATTTTAAAGACAAAATTGAATACGNCTTCAGGTACGAGCATTAAGTCTTCTACACATGGGAGGGTACACACACCACACCTCTCTCTCTCTCTCTCTCTCACCTACTAATTTATTCTCATTAATAAAGTTTTCTGACCACCACCATTGCCTTAAGTGGTTAGGTCACCTAGGCCCAACCACTCAATCTTTATCTTTTACTATTAATTACTCTATCAATTATATTGCATCATACACTCAACTGATTTAATTGTGTATAACTTATTTTGTACATCATCAATTTGGCGTTATCTGTGAGATCGATTTGATTCTCACCCTATAATCTTCCAACCTCTAATGGCAATCACAACCAGATTCATGAANTGCATCATCAGTTTGGCGTTATCTGTGAGATTGATTTGATTCTCACCCTATAATCTTCCAACCTCCAATGGCAATCACAACCAGATTCCTAAACCACCAAGCGGAAGATGACCCCCCACATCACGACAAGGACCCCCCACCACCGATGAACCCCGTCCCTAAATCCCAACAACTGTTACAGACCATGCTAAGAATGTCGCCAAAGCAAGGCGAACTAAGTCCTCACAAAGAGAGAAATACGAAAATGAGACACGGGCAAATTCTACTTCTTCACTAATTTGTGGTTAAAATTCAAATTCAGTGAAAAACAAGCATTTTATTGCTATTATTTTTGTCCATTGCACCCATAAGGCACACGTGGCATTGTCTGTGAGGCACATATGAAATTTTATGCTAGCAATTTTAAAGACAAAATTGAATACGTGAAATTCTCGATTTCTAAAATCATTGATTGCATCATTTAGATGTAAATTAAAAACTTTGAGGTATTAAAGTGACATAATTGAAAGAATGAAGACCTTAAGTGCGACAAAACATATACTTTGAGACCATTACCATGTCCTGTTCAAACGAAAAAGAAAGTTGGGAAGTGTTCTTGTCAAGATATTCAAAGTTGCAGCAACTTCATACTGGATACCAAGTTAAAAATATGAAATGAATCAGTTTATTTTTTGGCAATCTTGACAGTATTTACCACAGCTGTGAAAATCTACTACCCAAACATAAAGAAGAAAGGGGAATGGGGATAGGGTTCCACCAGCCGAGCAAAAATTATTACTCAGTTTTGGCTCGAAAGGTTCAGCTAAAGCCGAGCTTGAGAAAAAATATAAGTTTGGTAATCGAGCTTTGTCGGTCATAACCAGACCGGACCAAATCTAATCATAAATAAGTTCAACAAACTCAGACTCAAACTCAATTCAACCCTAATATTGCATTCGCTAAAATTTGTACCCGCTCTCTTCAAACTTCCTACACCAAATCACGCACATTGTTTTGAACATGATTTTGAAAGCTATATCAACCTTCCCTAGAACATCGAAAAATCAGAAATAAATCCATAAAAAGCCGGTTTGACACACATACAGCTACCCAGTTACTCCAGTATATGTCATGGCAACGCATATTTAGTCATAATACAAAGGCGAACACCCTCAGACATTATGAGGACACCACCACCAAACTTGCTATAAACAAGCAGAAGCAAGTTTAACACAACTTTATAGAGTATTTCCTGCAGCAGTAAATATATATATACACTGCTGTTCATGTAGTTTTTGTCAAGTAGAAAAGAGATATCTGAAGTAACCTTGAATGCAGCTGACACAAGGGTCAAGCCATGAGAACTAATAAGATTTTAAAGTAATGCAAATAAAGCAAGAATCTGGAAGTCTAGCTTGTGAGAGGATCCATTGTAGAAATGTAACACAGGGTCTTACAGTAATGGTGGATGCCAGAGCAGAAATGAGACACATATATAGATAAGTCTTTCTTCAAATATATTGACGACTGAAGATAACCAAATTCTTTTTTCTAATACAGCGCTTGTAATCTGCTAGGAGTGAATTCCCATTCGCCCTTCGTTCATGGTTCAAAAGTTGGCACTTGATCTATAGGATAAGAAATTGCTCCATACACTGTTCTATCAATGATACCTCTATAAGGATCCTCCTCTCGCTTTTTAATCAAATAAGCCAGATTGCATTCAATTTCAGATTTTATCTGCAAATACAACTTGTTCGCACTTTCTTTGTGCTTCAGCTCCTTTTCCCTTCCCTTTGTTTGTATAGGCTTTCCAAAAAGATAGTAGAATCGTCCAGGTACCTTAGGCAGAACGCCCGGGAGAAAGAAATCTTGGCTGGCAACCTCCTCACCCGTTTCAGCCCTATAACCAGAACATAAACCGTGTCACCAGATATAACTTTTACATCTTGATCATTACTACAAGCGAGCCTTGAGCCATCTGTTAAACCACAATCTCGTCTAAAAGCTTAAACTATTAAAGAGGGCTTAATAAAAGTATTTATATACGTCAATCAAAATTATCCCTCACATATGGGCCAGGTTTTGGACCAAAAACGTGGAAATCTTAATAGTTATAAGGTGGCAGCAAGATTCATCAGAACCTCTGATTATGATACCATGTTAAAGTACCATCTCATCTAAAACGTAAGTTGTTAGAGAGGGTTTAACATAAAGGTTTGGATACTTCAAAAGCATCTAGGCATGAAGCAAATATGGAATAAAAAATTACTTTTATCAAATCAATGAATAAATACCTCACTCTTACAGTCTGTTCATTAGTTCTTCTTATGTAATCATTAAGCACAGGGATTCTCATCATGTCATTGTAATCAAAAACTACCTGTGCATATTAGAGAAAAAAGCATCAACAAGTAAACGATCAATAGTACACAAAGTAAGACTTTAACTTCAAACTTGCTTTTGGGGAAAGGTGGAATATGGGGAAAATAGGGGAAAAGGGAAAGCGGGGTTGTAGGGGGCAAAAAAAAAAATAGTAACAATCATTCAAATTTCAAATCAATAACTTATGAGCACAAATCTAACTAAGGACAAATAGAAACAAACAGAAAGAGTAGATAAACAAAAATGGTGCTAAAAATGTAATACAGTTCATCTGGAATGCCAATGGATGTAAATGCATGAACAGAAACTGAAATTTATTCCTCCTACAATGATGAGTGTCAGTGGCCTGCCTGTTGCCACATATGCGGAACAAAAATGGCTTTGTTTCTCAGAGTTTAGTCATTATGATCACCACCATCACCGACTCATTGTCAATTTGCCACCATAACTAAAATCAGCCCCCACCACAGCATCATTAATGAATCTACCACCCCCACACCATTATCACCTTAGCTGCTGCCACTTAAGTATGGACATTCTAGGGTGAGTGTGCAACACATCCTACATCCTGATTGAAAAAACCCACAGATAAATGCAAGCAGACAAGAGGAAACTCGTAATCAATGTGTCCATAGTTCCCATAATTCTTCTCTATTTCAGACACATCACTAACCATTGTTGAATAACTGTTAACATCCTTTTTTTGGTCTTGGGTGATCTGATCCCAGAATGGGGAGGAGAGAGTGAGCCTCTTGTGGGCCATCCGAAGCCACCAGAACTAGGTTTGTGATGGTTACTTGCCAACATTCAACAGACTAACCATGGCATAGAGATATGACTTTCTTTAAAAAGGAAAATAAGTAAATAACTTAAGAGAAATGCAATCAAATGTTAATACATTGTTATAACTTATAATAAATCTTTGCCACACTTAGATAACAAAAAGTACAATCCAAGAATGTTTTATGAACTGGATGGCGTGAGAAGAGAACTCAAGCCATCATGATTATTTTGTGAATTATATGAGCAATAGGCATAATCATATTCTTATATATGAATATGGATGCACAACCATCCACCCACACACACAAACCATATTCATACCCTTGATGGTCTTTGGTTGTGCAAAATGAACAAATTATTAACTTTTTAGGTAAAGAACATATGATTACAATACATTATGGTACCAATTATATGCCACAAACAAATATTAGACTTATTAGCAAAATTTTAATACAATTGTTCATGTAGCAAAAGTTTCTGTATTCCTGTCCTNACTTTTTAGGTAAAGAACATATGATTACAATACATTATGGTACCAATTATATGCCACAAACAAATATTAGACTTCTTAGCAAAATTTTAATACAATTGTTCATGTAGCAAAAGTTTCTGTATTCCTGTCCTACTATGTTGAATTTGTCCTGCTAGTTTGTATGTCTAAAGTGGAGAATGTGTCCCATGTCTCATGTCCCAGCCCATACTTCATAAGGCACCATCATTGCACCATTCCCCCACTGCCGATTGTAGCCATTGCAATTGTGTCATTACTCCCCCTAAACCCGCATCACAGCTGCTATTATCCCCCTCCTGCCACCATCATAACACCAGAGCCATCATCTCTATTGCTGTCACACCAACACAACAGCCACACCAACCACGATGGCCGTAACAACACTAAACCATCATTAGCCTACACCAGTCCCCTGTACAGTTGTACCACAGACCACCACTGCATGAAAATGGGGGAACACCTTCAACACTCACAACTCTTCCCATGCCTCCGCGTCAGTTTTCACCCTTCAGTCTCCCTCATAACTGTCACTGCCTGCTGCTGCTACCATCATCCTCGGCAAAATATTATCATAACGTATCATTACCATCACCGTAAACATCACGACACTCATCTAGTTTTTCATATATATATCCAAATATTATATATACCAACTATTACTGTAACACATTTAGTAGTTCCTCTAACATCATAAAGAAAATGTGAATCATTCCTGATATAGACACATAAATCTGAGAAAAAAATACTGTTAAACAACCATATACTCCAAAACCTTAAGTTGTTAAAGAGTGTGTAACTTCATTATTTATACTTCAACACACCCCTCACGTGCAGGCTAGATTTTGACCCCAACACATGGAAATCTTTTAATTGGGTGACGGCGAGATTCGAATACAGGACCACCAGTTTTGATGTTATGTTAAACAACCATCTACTCCAAAAGGTTAAGATATTACAAAGTGTGTAACTTCAGTAAATACTTCAATAGAGAACACAATCACTTGTAAAATCTTTATCAAGAATCAAATGCCAAAGAGAACAATCCTCATCTAGAATAAAGATTAGCGGGACAAAAGGGATTCAAACATGAAAATAAAGGGGCTCATGCTTGCTTACTTCTGCTATGTCATCTTCTCCAATAGCTCCAAATGGTACAATTGTGGCCCCAAACCTTGCAGCCATTCTCACAAATTCTGGTTTATCAGGCCAAAATAACTTATATTGTTCACCCTGGGAATCAGAGAAGCACCATCACAATTGAGACAAAGATTTTCATGAGTATAAGAAACCTACACCTATAAAGCCAATATACAGTCTTGAGCAATTAAAATAGAAAAGACCTTACTCACGCAAACCATGCAATCATGGTTCTCTGTACTACTCAATCTTCTCAGTGAAAGAAACCAAATAGTACCATTGGCACATCAAAGTTTCAGGTTAGCAAAAAGTCCATGCTTGTGTTGGGGTGATTTTTGTCAATTTTAATAGCCAGGTTCCCCGAACCTTGTTCCATGATTGGTGAAACTCCAAACTAGTAAGGAGGTGGCACTTCTCAAGTGATCCTGCTTATGAAACCTTCAGTATATTCTATCAACCCTCCACCTCGAGAAATCTAACTGTAATTGAGAATTCCAGCCTAATATTCTACACTCAGACAACTTACTTGCATTTTAAACATTGCCTACACTTTTCCTGTTTCACATCTCCTAATATCCCTCTATAGAAGGCCTAGTACAATAAACTTCCCTTAGCCCAGCCATCTGCTAAAAACATCAACAAAATTAACATATACAACTAATGAAATGAAAATGTGCATGATGGTATAAAACCACCAATATAATTTCGTTTTGGTGCATATTTTCAACCAGCTCAGAAACGAATACTTTTGGAAACATAATGGAGATAGAGAAAAAAATTTGGAAACATGTGGGAAAAAGTCGGAAAACATAGATTAAACTTAACAAATGGTTAATTCATTATGTTTATTCTCTAAACATCCATCTATACTAGATGACACTAATTTGGAGAACAAATGTGATGGTTAATGACTTAATGTGAAACATAATTTCAAATATTATACTTTTATTTGACAGACAAAATCACATTTATTTAAGAACCTATACTAAACAAAAAAGCGCTCGTAACCATCTCTTTGTGATGAACCAACCATGTTCCCAACACCACCTCGTTCCTTGAGGCAGGTCCACAAGGATGAAATTCGTAAAATGTTGAATACTCTCCGTATCCTTAAGGTTGGGTTATTGATATTACAATCAATCTTATGGCTAACATATGCCCAAGACTGGGCCATTGACAACTAATTACAATCAATTTTACATCGCAGCAAATCATCCAAAAGGTCAACTCTGTTACATGCTACGGGAACATATTGGGGGAACAAAATTCCTACGTAAACTTGGTTGTGTTTCATTTGCAGATATCATTTATGATTCAAAATGTTTTCTCTTGTAGTAGTTTTCTTTAATAGGAAAAAAAAAGAGTAATAGTATGTTCACTATTGAAAATTTTGACATTTCGTTTGATCACTTATTAATTCTGCTACGATAGTTTAGGCGATAAATGAAGCAAAAGTTACAACTAAAATTATTAAGAATTTAAGGTAGAATGTAATCAAAGAACCATTTAAACTGAAACAAATGAACTTTTAACATACCTTACGATGGAGAGCCTCACGTGCACCACCAGGATAAAGCAGTACATGTGATTTTGTTGAAAACAATTTGAAAAGGTTGCTAGCCGTGACAGGCACTGTACCGAATACTTTCACTAAATCAAAGAAGGAAAAGTTGTTGGACTGAGCTTCAGCGTTTGCCGTAAACAATTCCGGGTGCCCTACACCACGAACCAGAACAGTCTTCTCCCTCAAGAATTCTTCAACAAGAGGAATAAGTTCGCATCCCAGCAAATTGTGATAGCCAACTAGTAAAACAGGACCTTCATTTGGAACCCCACCAAGACCCCTCACTATTTTTCCATCTTCCAAAGTCGAGAGCATTACTGGACTAGTAGCAAAGCGGAGCCACCTGCATTCCATTATATTTTGATATCAGCCAGCTGCCACAACCACCAAAATTTATGTGCAAGTCAGCTTATTTCATCCAAGAAGTAAACTGTGGCATAACCAACTTGGCTTTTAACCTCATTTTGTGGATTCAGAAACAAACACATAGAAGGTGAATTTGACGGGTAGAATCCACTCAAGATTCAACTTAGGAGTGAATTAGTTGACCCTGACCCATGTGGGTCAGCCAAAATGTTTATAGATAATACATCATTCTATAATTAAGAACAGCTAAAAATAAGTAATTAGTTTCAATTGACAGTATACATTACAATTACACATACAAAGGCCACTATTCTGGACCAGTCCCTCTTGAGTGAGGTGCTAGGAAGGATAGACTAGATACAAACTATTTAATGCGTGTGGTTGTTCTCAGACTTAAACTTGCAAGAACAATTGGATACCCCAGTAGTATAGAAATCTATAGTCCAAAAGTTAATCAAAAAATAATAACTTTTCCTTATATTATGCTCCTATAATAGGTGTAAACTATGTGATAAAATCTAACACCACTTCCCTCTTTCCCTTGGGTTATACTCGTTTCACTGCAAAACCAAATAATCAATGGAGTAGAAGTCGTCAAAAATTGAGACAACTGCCACTTTTCAAAATTTTCTAACCGTTTTGAAAGTACTTGGAATGTTGGATCTCTGGACTAAAGGCTGGATCTCAGGACTAAAGGCTAGCAAATTTAATGTCTCAAATCAAGATAATTTATTTGTGTTAAATCTATGGCTTAGAGAGGGAAGGGGAGAGACAGAGGGAAGAGGAGAGACACACACAAAGAACTGTGGAACATAGGGCAGAAATTAACCCTACTCCCTCATTCTTACATACATATATTTAGGTTTAGGGTGTACACTGTGATGCCCTAATTACCCCTTTACTCGTACTATTTCTTTAGTTCATTTTTTGTCATATAACTTTTTTCTCAAAACAATGTAGGTGAACCTTTCCACTATTACCTGTATCATGTGGTATTCCATCACATTATGTTTACTCAAACTAAAAGGATGTGAAGAAACTAGTACAATTACAATTCCTTCACAAAAGTTATATTCCTTCAGGCAGGAATATCCACCAGAAGCCTCATTTTGGAACACATTTTTGGGTTCTAAAAGCCCAATAGGGAATCAGATTGCTTCAATCAAGATGCATCCTGTGACACATTCAATCAAAATAAAAAGTACTGTGTTACACTGAATTACCCATTACTTCTGAGTACTTCTCTGAACTCTGATATACTAGGAGGCAGAAAATCCATGACCAAATCAAGCCTCCTTGAACGGCGGTATTTGCAGGTACCTTTAATAACAGTCAACAGATTGACACCATCTTCCTGAACCAACAAAATTGCAGCCAGTCAAACTTCACATGCTCCAACCAGAACATAACTCAAACAAGTGCACGATTTATTGCAACAAGGAATAAGTGCCATGGTGCTGTTCCTAGAAGCAGTAGCTAATATCGTTGATCAAGTGCAATGGCTAAACTTTTGTACTTTAATAAGAAAGAAAAAAGGAGCAGAAAAAAGCAAGACCTCATGAGCACATTATTATACAAGCAATGATGAACTAAACAAACACAGTACAAGACTGTTGACTTCCTTATTAAGTGTGGAAAAACCAGTTTCATGCCCACAAAATAATTTCTTGCAATAATAAACAGAAGCACGGTAAGTTAACATCATCAAACTTATCTGACAGGACAGGTGATTAAAAAATCATAATGCATGAAAAAGAAGGACGTTCAGACTTGGTTCAGCTACGTTTTGAAAGTATTCAGACTCAGCCCATGCTTATACAGACCTAGAGCAAGTCTGTTCTAGCTTCATTTGTGGCTGCTCACCCATTTCATTAGCCCACCTTGGCCCAGTTATCAAGTGGAACACGGTTTCTCGTGATTCTTACCAGGCTCTAATTGTTTCTTACCATTGAAAAGAAAGTTAAACATCAAAGTCGATCATCTCCTTTAATCCATTAAACATCTTATTTATTCAAATTATGAAGGGTGTTAGCTAAAAGAAGGGAGCGAAAAGGAGGCAATTAAGGTTAAGTCATTACCGACACTTGTTCACGAGCCTAAGCAAGCAGATCGTGTTAGTGCTAGGCTTGTTTGCTAAATGAACGTACAATTAAAGATCTAACCTCTATCTCAATTCATGTGTTGAATAAATGAACGTGACCAAGAACAAACCAAACTGAGCAAAGCCAATCATTAATGGCTTGTCAAATTGCACCACACACAGTTGTTAGTGCTTGTATCAACCAATAGAATTTTAAACAAGTTCGTGAAATACATTTTGCATCTAAATGTAGACATCAAAGATATCAAGTTAGAAATTCCAATTGACCATTGTTTCAACATTAACATACAAATTACAATAAATCTACTTATAAAGAAATCTTAAAGTTTGTCTCTCTAAATACCCAAATATTTGTCCTATAACCATTCAAGGACGTGAGGGTACGCCTTGGCGCAATGTAAGGTTGCTCCATTGTGATCTGAGTGTCAAGGGTTTGAGTCATGAAAATAGGCTCTCCGCATTAAGATATAGCAAGCATAAATCTGACTCTCCTCCTTAGCCATTGAAGAAGGTGCCATGAATGTCACAAGAACAAGACTTGACGAACTTCGTTATGGAATTCTTTAAATTTAAGCAATGAGGATCCAAAAGACATTATTGCTATCCCTGTGACTCTAGGTAGATTTGAGAATAAAAAGACAGACCAATCTCAAAGCTAATATTCGGTGGAGAGATCTTCACAAAAGTGTAGTAGCATTGTAGCTTTAAAGAAAGGAAAGATGAAGGGGTCCTCACCTACCAATAAAATGATATGCCCATTGTCCTTGAAGTAGCGGATTTTGCAGTCCCGTAATGAACTTGATAGCCTTCGAGCCTCATCTCCACTGGGAAGCATTTTATCCTTGCAACTACAGTATGATTCAAAATTTCAACCCAAAGTAGAAAATTCTCAATTTCATTATTCAAGAAAGAATATAACTAGACAACAAACAGAGACTAACTAATTGAAACCATATCTCCTTGACAATACAATATCTGTATTTATGCTGATTTCACATTAGTTTAGAACCGTTCTATAAAACAAAACAAAGTTTACCCTTCCATTTTAGACTAACTTGGTGGATGCACAAAATGGCCACTGGCACAAAGCTGGATGTGATCAGCAGCTCCTTCACGAGGCCCAACTAAAACTTGTAAAAGGAGCTTGTTGACATATTATATCAGAAACCACAGATTATTTTAGAATCCCCTGTAACTAACTCCTGAGGACTACCTAACATCATTTAGAATAGAAGCATCTGCAAGCCGGAATGCATTACTTCCTGGTCTCAATAGAGACCCCACAAAAATCAAGAACCTCTGAATCTGACAATTTAATTCACCATAGCTACTTTTTATTTTTACCGATGACATCTAGAAAATTCATATTCAAGTATAATATGATAGTAGCAGATTAGATAAGATCCCTAATTTAGCCCCATTCAACAATATACTTGAATTTCTTCAATTTCTGATTTGTATAACTCAAATTACACAATGAAAGCATATTAATCTAGATGCATTGAACAGAAAGAAACAAATAGGGCCATAATTTCAAGCTCTGTTTATACTCAGGGTTTTATGGATACATCAACAATACAAAAATGAGACACTCCAAAACTGACTAAAACATACTGGGTCATCAATCATTCCTTGTAATTCTGTACGAGTAACATGTATACTCAAACTCACATAACATACAAAAAAGAGAAGGAAAAATCATACTTCTGCGGTCATGAAAATTGACTCATGTCATATGTGCCACAATCTATTTTCTATCAGTGGAAAAAAGTTAAAACGCATTGCAACAACTAGTGAGAATATTTAAAATAAGATGGTTCAGATGGCTTAGCCATGAGCTCAGACATGGATGACAAGAAGAAATTTTCACACAACCGTTGATGAATCAAGGACTTGAAAAACACAGCCCCAATTTCTTCTTCTTTTTTTCCAGATAAGAAACAAAACAAGGCAAAAATTTCAGAACCAAATCAAACCCTCAACAATATCCAAAAGCAAAGAATCACGAAATATTCATGCATGATTAAAAGAGAAATATATGCATTAAAGCCAGAGAGAAAATAAACCTAGCAAGCACTAATACTTCAGCAGTAATGGCATGCAGACGAGAATTGGCATAAGCAGCAGCTGATTTGAGCTGCTTCACCTTCCACAGAAGAGTGTTCTTGGGAATTATATCAGCCAAGCCCTGATAAGGTAAAGGAAAGGGAGTAAAATACCGAATGGAAACCAAGTATAATCCTCCCTACAAAATTAAAAAGTTTGAGAACATCATAAGATTGTTCTTTTAAAAACATAAGCCACAAATAATGGACTTAGGAAACACCTATTCCAATCCTGCTCAAAGTAAGTGAAGTAGAAGAATTACACCCATACCCTACTTGGGTTCACAAACTTTCAAGGCGATCCATAGACTCACTTTGTTGAGCTCTCTATTGGATTGAGGAAAAATATATGGATATATGACCAGCTTCTTGTCTCATACCATTCTGAGGCTTGAATTTTTCAATACTAGAGACTAAAGATCTTTGTTATATAGAGAATGGATGAGAGCTTTGGCTCAGAGGACCCTAAAGAACTTTACTAGGCTCGTGTTTTGAAGCTATGTAATTACTTTCTATGTAAAGTTAACATACCATTCTAAGCCCATAGCAGAACTTCAGGAAAACTGGATCAACAGACGACATTATGCCTCCCTGAGCTGGCTAGGGCAAAGAGTTCCCACCACAGAACATCAGGCTAGAGACTACAGATCTAGAAATTTTGATTGATCTAAAACTACCTTTTTTTTTTTGAGCAAAGATCTAAAACTAACCGAGGCCACTAAGGAATGCCCATTAAAATAAGTAAGCCTGTCTACTATCCTACAAAAGTTGAATTGCCTGATAAGTTAATATATTCATGTATAATTGGAAGAAAAAAAAAAAGTAACCTAGTACACGAGCCCACCGCCAACCGTCAATGCAAGATATAGGGAAATTTCGAAATACATGGAAAACAGTAACTACCAAATATGAGCAATGTTACCATTGCTGGTATGCATGTGTGTCAAACGATCCCAGATTTCCTTGGCATTGTTTAGATTCTAGAACAGTAAGGTAGAATTGATACAAGGCTTAATATTGTTCACCCTTAGTAACACGATCTGCGCATCCCCTTGTTTCCACTGAGCAAAACTGCAGTGACTTTATTTAGGTTTATCTCCCACCAAATTCTTACAAATGATTTAGCCTCAAGGAATACCTCCACAAGCCAGGCCGAAAGGACATAATTATTCCCATTGAGCTATTCCGAAGTCATGAGAGCACTAAAGAAAGGGGCAATAGAAAGTTTTGGGTACATTAGTGACACAATTCTCCATCCTCTAGGTCCCACTGAGCAAAACTAGAGTAATCTTCTTGTTGTTTATCTCCTATAAAATGCTTACAAAGGCTTTTAGCCTTAAGGAATGCCTCCACAAACCTGGCCCACAAGATATGCGTTAAAGAATATGGTCAAAGAACTGCATTAATAACATCGACAGGCAATTAGAGGAAAGCTTTCATAGTTAACCCACCTAATATATAGCTATAAACTTCAAATTTTAGCTCATCATGATCATCAACCATCACAGTTAATAGTTCAAAAAACAAGATGCTGAACAAAATTAGCCATCTAGTTGATGCCTATGAAGACTTAGCCACCGGTCCACCGCCCACCATTAACATGTTACTGTACACATTACTATAACGTCACATGACATTCATACCTTAGCATACCACATGGACTCCAACAGTGTAAAGATAGACATTATCCAATAAGGGAAGGAATGAAAAGAAAGTAGAGATAATAAAGTGAAAATATTGGAAGCATAAGATTGGATTAAAAATGTCTACAAACAACAATAACAAATTTAGCGGACGAACGACATAGCTCCAGAAGTATGATCTTTTAGTGACTGTAGTATCCGCCTTGCAGAAACTCCTAGTATTAAAACTGAAACAAGCACAAATACTCTCGTCTAATCACAAAAATAGAAAATGAAACATTCAATTTTGAGGAAAGGTTTCGTGCAACATGGGAAGAAGTACGAGATTCACGAAAAATCAAAGGAGTGCAAGCACTTACAGAAAGTAGTGGTAGCAAAGCAGCAAGGTTGCCAGACAACTGTTTGAGAATTTGTGTAGGAGGAAGATCATTTTCAATATTTACCATTGCCATCTTAGTGGGATCACCTGATTATCACAAGTATTCCAATGTGAGATGGCATAAGAAAAAATAAGCAGAAAGAATAACAAAAAGGCTTAAAAGGCTAGAATGCCTGTTAAGGTGCAAGTGCTTGTCTGGGGAATGTCAATACTTGTGACTTATTGCAACAAAGAAGGCCTCATGCTTGTCTCTCTCCTCGGTGGTATGTAATGTGTAGGGCATGATGTGAAAGTACAAGATTCATAAAATAAGCAAAAAGAAAAAAAAAAACAANCCACTGAGCAAAACTGCAGTGACTTTATTTAGGTTTATCTCCCACCAAATTCTTACAAATGATTTAGCCTCAAGGAATACCTCCACAAGCCAGGCCGAAAGGACATAATTATTCCCATTGAGCTATTCCGAAGTCATGAGAGCACTAAAGAAAGGGGCAATAGAAAGTTTTGGGTACATTAGTGACACAATTCTCCATCCTCTAGGTCCCACTGAGCAAAACTAGAGTAATCTTCTTGTTGTTTATCTCCTATAAAATGCTTACAAAGGCTTTTAGCCTTAAGGAATGCCTCCACAAACCTGGCCCACAAGATATGCGTTAAAGAATATGGTCAAAGAACTGCATTAATAACATCGACAGGCAATTAGAGGAAAGCTTTCATAGTTAACCCACCTAATATATAGCTATAAACTTCAAATTTTAGCTCATCATGATCATCAACCATCACAGTTAATAGTTCAAAAAACAAGATGCTGAACAAAATTAGCCATCTAGTTGATGCCTATGAAGACTTAGCCACCGGTCCACCGCCCACCATTAACATGTTACTGTACACATTACTATAACGTCACATGACATTCATACCTTAGCATACCACATGGACTCCAACAGTGTAAAGATAGACATTATCCAATAAGGGAAGGAATGAAAAGAAAGTAGAGATAATAAAGTGAAAATATTGGAAGCATAAGATTGGATTAAAAATGTCTACAAACAACAATAACAAATTTAGCGGACGAACGACATAGCTCCAGAAGTATGATCTTTTAGTGACTGTAGTATCCGCCTTGCAGAAACTCCTAGTATTAAAACTGAAACAAGCACAAATACTCTCGTCTAATCACAAAAATAGAAAATGAAACATTCAATTTTGAGGAAAGGTTTCGTGCAACATGGGAAGAAGTACGAGATTCACGAAAAATCAAAGGAGTGCAAGCACTTACAGAAAGTAGTGGTAGCAAAGCAGCAAGGTTGCCAGACAACTGTTTGAGAATTTGTGTAGGAGGAAGATCATTTTCAATATTTACCATTGCCATCTTAGTGGGATCACCTGATTATCACAAGTATTCCAATGTGAGATGGCATAAGAAAAAATAAGCAGAAAGAATAACAAAAAGGCTTAAAAGGCTAGAATGCCTGTTAAGGTGCAAGTGCTTGTCTGGGGAATGTCAATACTTGTGACTTATTGCAACAAAGAAGGCCTCATGCTTGTCTCTCTCCTCGGTGGTATGTAATGTGTAGGGCATGATGTGAAAGTACAAGATTCATAAAATAAGCAAAAAGAAAAAAAAAACAAACGGCAATAATTGGTATGAAATCCAAGTTAGAAGCCTGATAAATCAACCGAGTATCAACTTCTTCTAAATCAGTCCAACCAAAGAAATTAGCAGTCAAAGTTAATTTCTTAAGTGCACAAGAATACAGCTCCAATGAACTTAAACACCACCACATGAGCATGAAATGTGCTAGTTTTATGGTTCTTGTTAAAGCGTCAAACTAAAAACCAATTGACAATGAGTAGAGAAGCCCACAAGGGGCATATACTTTTTTGGGAGGTATTATTTTATCGAAGTAGGACAAACTCCAACGGTTCTCATAGTGATGTTGGCAAGGGAGACACTTGTAAGGACTCACAAGTGCTACTTGAAATGATATTGTTGGACCACCAGGGGATGATGGTGTATAGTGGCCTTGGAGACTGAAATGGTGGTAGTCATTGGATGAAGGTGCTGGTAATCATTGACAATGAAGGCAGTGGCGGTTTTGATAATGGTGGTGCAAGAAGTCAAGAACAGCAATGCTGAAAACAACAGTGGAGGTGATACTACAGTGGCTGCAACTAGGATGTAATGGCCCATCAGCAGTGCTGGTGATGCTTGTCTGGGGATGGCAATAGGTGTTTGGGAATACAGGTTTGTTGGTGGTTGCAGTTGCAATTGCGTGCCAGGCACTGCAGATTCCTCAAATGAGAGGATTTATCAAAACACCTTCGCTTCTGACAATGGAGTAGGTGAATTTATTACCTCCAATCACAAGAAGGCAACCCACTCAGGCTAAAATCAGGCACAGGATATCACTATGAGTTAATGTTCATACCGATGCCACAGTAACAATTCAACCAGCAAGCCATGATTGGAAGCATTTAAACTTCTTTAGTTTATTGTAATTAATTCAATTCTACAGAAATTTTGCATCCCGACATAATACTCATAGCAATAGGTCATGTACCCATTATGAAGCTAAGAAGATAAGGGAGTGTGACATGAAGCTCATTGGGCAAAGCTTCCAAAAGAGGGAGCAAAGGCTGCAGCTCTGACCTGCCAAATGAAGTTGCTGAAATGGATACTCTAAATCATCAGTTGCTATGAAAGGATAGTGACCATAAGTGGTCAAACAACATCCCAACATTATATGATCAAATAAAGTTGCATCTCTGAAAGCTGACCTGGATTGGCTAATATGACTACTAGGTCGATCGTAGGATTACGAGCAGCAACAGCTAGAGCTAAACATCCTCCAAAGGAATCTCCCACAAGATAAATTGGTTTATTTGGAGATGAAACATGTTCAAACCGCACAGTTTTTTCGACTAGTTTCACTAAATCTGCATACTATAAAGTTTATCATTCTATAATACCTATCAAAATCATTCATATATCATGCAATCTTACTAAGTGCAGACATATATAAAGAAATTGCGCCTGAAGCCATGTAAGCATGCACAAATAAACACTCAACAAACAAATGAAATCATATTGCTTAGGGTCCAAACGAAGCCTTTAGCACCATGAGAGAACAAAAAATTCCACAGTAATCTTTCAAGATGTGCCAAGGTTTTGAACTCAGATTTCAACAGCAAGAATGGAGAGCCCAGCAAAAAAGAGATATTCTTGATATCTCAAATTTCACCTGTAAAATTAAAGCTGGCTGCTACTTCCGACATTTTAATCTGATATACTTTCTTCAATAACCAATATACCATTGTTTAGGATTTCTTTGGCAACAAATTTCAATTGGTTTCTTTTATATCTTAGGATTTGTTTCTTATTTAGTAAATTGTTTCAAATTATGCAACTTCTATTTCATTTTTATTCTAAAAGCTTAAGCTATTAGAAAGGTGTAACTTAAGTATTTATACTTCAAAACGCCCCCCACGTGCAAGCTAGATTTTAGACCCATCACATGAACTTCTCTTAATAATTAGAGAAACAGTGAGATTTGAACACAGAACCTCCTGTTCTTATATAATGTTAAACCACTGACTCATCTAAAAGAAGTATTTATAATTCAACACATACAAAACTTCCATGGAATCAATTCTACAAATCAAGTAAACCTTTTATTAAATTTCATACTTAAGATACATAATTGCCCATAGCATAGGGAGAAAATTGTGATAAGCCCAGGGCAGCTCCCTGCTTAGAAAAATTATTTTAATTAAATTTTAATATTACCCAAATACACTAACTAACTTTTTTCTTCTCTAACCAATGATAGAGCAAACACCCCAATTTCTTTGTAACTGACATGCCAACTTAAAATGTCATTACCTCTTGGGGGACACACTGAAATATAACTGCACAGATTTTAACCAAGCAGCTAATTAAGACCATGTTGAGTTAAAATGCTGGAATACGTTTCCAATGGTTTCATATGTCATTGAACCATTGCATTTGAAACACCAAATTCACACAATAACCAATATGAATTGATGACAAGCAATCGACTTTGGTCAAACAACATTGCACATTACCAAATCCGCCACCTTCCTTTCATGTGCCTTGCTGTTAATTTAGGAAAACAGATACCATAAAAAAGTGAGGAAAAATGAAGTTCCACTAATCATAAATTCCATCTGTGGGCATTGAATCACAAATCGTATCCCATTAAAAATCTTAGTACAAAAATCTAGAAATGCTGATCATATAATGAAGCCTTGTATAATTGTTTCACAGAAAGCTTCAAAGTTTAATCAACATATCCTATGACAAAAAAAAATTCCGACAACACAATGACAATCAATTATGCATAAACAATTTCAGGACTCAGAATAATGTTTTGATATAACAGCACAAATGAACTTTATAAATGACAAAAGTTCATAAACAACAAAAGATATCACTTAGAAACCAAGAGCAAAGTAAGACCTTCAAATGGTGTTCGATCGTTAACAGGAATGTGCAAGCATCGAACTTCAAAAACCCTGAATTCAAAGCAATTCTATGTTAAGGTACATAATTCAACATTAGCATTTACAACACCATACATGACATTTAGTATCATATAATGCATGTTAGAGCATTCAACTCAAAACCAATTGTTAATGAGTGGAGACGCCTTTAAGCATATAAAGGAACATTGGGTGGTCCTACTCATTCAATTTGGGATACAAGCTCTATTTACACCATCCCTCACGTGGAACCTGGGCTTGCACGTGGAACAAACATTCAATTTGGGATACAAGCTCTATTTACACCATCCCTCACGTGGAACCTGGGCTTGCACGTGGAACAAACATACAAACAAGCATGCTTACCAAGATTCATATGGATAAAAGACTTGGCCTACTAACCACCCCAGGCTCAATTCCAATACCAAGTAAGCGCATCCAACTCCAAAACCAATTGACAATGAGTTGACAGGCCCCTTAAGCATATAAACCTCCCTTGGGTGGTATAAATAATTTGACGTTGGATAAAAAATCTCTTTACACTGCAATCATAAGGCACTAGGCTTATTTGACTAGTTAGAATATATAGAACGGCATTTATATAATAAGTATATCCCAAGAGGGATATAGTATTCTTTAATCATATTGAGATACATATATATATGAGTTGAAAGGGAAGGTACGGTAACTTCTTCCAATTCTTT